GATTATGCATGACACGAAGTATTTGCTAGTCTAGTACTGGAGAAATTAGCGTTTGGATGCGCATAGTGCGGCTTTAAGGGCTATTGTCATACTTATATGCACAACACTGCCATACGAAATCGTCAGTTAAACAATGAAAATAATTCGATTTATTGAGCTATTTATACAAGGTGAAATTACCAGTCATCTCCAGTAGTTGCGCTATAGCATTTAATGCTATTTCCTTTGCAACTCGATTGCGATACTCTACAGACTATGTAATACAGACACGAGTTCTCTGACCATAAAATGGCCAAATCATCCTCCTTCTGCATAGTTCACACTTCTTGTGTTTACGCTGTTATTTTATGCATCATGTGACTGCTTTACTAAACTTGATTGGCTGCTGAAAGAAATCGCGCGCGAACATGTGGACACAATGTCGTATTTGTACGCACGCGATCGAAAACCGCGCGTAAATATTCAACATGTTGAATACGAGCGATGCGCCGGGCGTATGCGATCGCGAGCGAAATACGCTGCCGTGAGACCGGACACACCGCGCGGACCCGGCACCGTATTTATCGATCGCAAGCGGCCAGCGTAGAAAATCGCGCAGTGTGTCCTAGGCTTAAGTGTATATTGTTTGTTGTTTTTGCGCAGATGACACGCGAAGCGTGGCATAACGTGCAAGGACATTAATAATGATGTCTTTTCATCTAATAATGATGATTTGTTGCCTTACAAGTATTGTACTGTCGTGGATAGCTGTAGTAAGTGGGCGTGAGGTTGCATGGGAAGAAGATTTAGCTCTTGTATTGATACTGTGCATGAGTCTGTGCATATCGCTCCATTTATGATTACACGCTGGCTCTAACATAGTGTCTGGTGTGTGAATTCCTTAACCTAGAAGGAGCATTAAGCACATAGATAATATGGACGTGCATCGGCCAGGGAATGTTGGAATGTCAGTGCCAATGGGAATACCGTTTAGGATATGTGAAGGAGTATTGCGCAGTTGATGTGGGAGGAGGAAGATGCAGATGCTATCAAGTATGCATTGCAAAAAAATATTAAATTGTTCCCAGTTTAGATCGAAATTAAGTTCACCAAGATTGGATTTGATCTCGAACGAGATTTCACCATCAAAGGTTAGAGAGAAAAGTCAATCGTACATGTGGGATCATTGTCAGATTCTGTAAATTGCAGCTGGGATTATTGAATTGAATGCATGCGCCATGCACGTGATTCTCTTTTGTTTTTCAAATTGCTTTTGATGATTGATTAGAATATCTTGGTAGCATTTACGCTTTTGCGCGTCAGTTTCCTTGAATATCCACAGCATGTGTAAAAATTTATTTAAACTGTACTTCTGAAATAGTTCTAACAGCATGGAACAAAATCGTGCTTGTTTTCGTTCTTCGCTGTTACACAAATTTATTATTACTTTCATTATTTGTTATACTCAGTGAAGTGTTGCTTTAATTTTTTCAAGAATTTTCCAAATTATTTAAAGTCTCCCTATACCAGAAACTATACGTACTGACTTTTTCTGAGCATGTGACTGCCTTTCCAGAAAATTTCTGTCCACTGCACATACAAAGCACCTGCTATAAGCATGCTCTGATGTCATCACTGAAAAACAATGCAGGGGCCAGTTGTCAGAAACACAATTAGTTATGGCTATCAGTCTAAAATATCATAACTTTTAAGTGAAGTGCAAAAGTTGTAATATTTTTGACTCATGATATTCATAACTATTCATGTTTCTAATAATATGTCGAAGGTGTACTGAGCGTATCAGCGTGCATGAGTGAGCGTGCGTGTATGCATGCTTTTAAAAGGCCAGTTTGCTGCGACCAGTCTCTGACTCTCGATGCAGACTAATGGCATCTCCTATCGCCCTCTATATTGCAGCTAAAACGAGCTACTGTGCAAAACTCCGTCACGGGGGAGCTAGAAACAGCGTCGTACAGAGTCAGCAAAAGGTTAGATCGTCTTCCACAGCTGCGCGGCGCGCGGGGGCGTCGCCAGCCCATCTCCGTTCATCCAGCTTGACCGACACTCACCTGCACGCCTTGCGCTGCATACTCACTGGGCTGCACGCCTCGTGCTGCGATCAGTGGTCTGCAAGCCTCATGCTGCTATCAGTGGGCTGCACGCTTCATGCTACATACTCACTAGGATGCATGCTAAATTGTCACTAGACTGCTGCATGTCTCATGCAAGCACACTCACTAGGCTGCACATATTGTGCTGCACAATCGCTAGGCTGCACACCTCATGCTATGCACTCACTAGGTTGCACGTATTGTGCTGCACACTCACTAGGTTGCACATTGTGCTGCACACTCACTAGGCTGCATGCCTCGTGCAGCATACTCATTAGGCTGCACATACCATGCTGCACACTCGCTAGGCTGCACATATTGTGCTGCACACTCACTAAGTTGCACATATTGTGCTGCACAAAGCTGTTCACCCGGGTGTCCATCCAGTCACAAGCTCGGATGTTTCGGTTGTGCGGCTCGCGCGCCCCCACAGCGCTCGTATTCGCTAATAATTTGTATAGACAATATTTTGTTTTATAGCTTCAGAGAGCGACCGCGCGTAACATAGAAACAGGCCAGTATGAGGCTGTTCCGTATCGCATCTCCAAGAGGTAACTGCCGTACTCTTGGGAAGGGTGGGATTATGAGGAGAGAGAGGGTGAGAGAGAGAGATGGAAAGAAAGAAATAGAGAAAGGGCAGGAAAGCCTGAAATAAAGTGTGAGATTGGGAGAGAGGAACGGACAGAGAGAGAGGGAAGAGAGGAACGGAACAGAGAGAGAGAGAGATGAGAGGTGAGAGAGGAAGAGAGAGTGAAGTGAGAGAGAGAGAGAGAGAGAGAAGCCGAGACGAGGGAGGAGAGAGAGAGAGAAGAGAGAGAGAGAGAGAGAGAGAGCGAGAGAGAAAGAAGTAGAGAGGTAGAGAGAAAATATGAGAGTGTGACAGGTAGCGGGGAGCCGAGAGAGAGGGAGGGAGAGAGAAATATATAGGAGAAGGAAAGCAAGAGAGAGCGATTGAGAGAGGGGGGAGAGAGGTTGGGCAAAAATATTATTAGCAACAGATAACATGCTGGATACGTTTATAAATATGTGGTTCTATGCAATTATTCGCGTAAAATGCTTTGCCTCTGTTTTGTATGGTGGTCACCGTTTATAAATTACGTGTGGGAAAAGTTCCGTAACCTAAGATATCATAACACGGGGTATTACTGTAGCTATGGCCACTGCAGTAATAGCCATCGTGGTGATGACTTTCGCTTTAACAGCCCCATGGTATCTGTTTCCCACTGTAACAGTCCCCCATGGTAACAGCTGCTACTGTAATAGCTGTCGTGGTAACAGTCCCCACGGTAACGGCTGCTGTGGGTAACGGTCCCCACGGTAATGGCCGCCATGGGTTACGGTTCCCACGGTAACGGCTCCCGTAGGTAACGGTTGCTGTGGGTAATGGTATCCATGGTAACGGCCGCCATGGGTAACGGTACCCACGTTAACGGCTGTTGCGGGTAACGGTACCCACGGGAACGGCTGCCGTGGGTAATGGTCCCCACGGTAACGGCTGCTACTGTGACGGCCGCTGCGATAACGAGCATCGGCGCGCGCGTGTGCGTCTGCTTTCAGTGCGTGGCTGCGGTCAGATGAGGATGCCGTGGTGAGTCGCATCAACCAGCGCATTGGGGACGTGACGGGCCTCGCGATGTCCACTGCCGAGGACCTGCAGATAGCTAACTACGGCCTCGGCGGCCACTACGAGCCACACTTTGACTTTGCGAGGGTGAGTGTGCGTGAGAGAGAGAGTTAGAGTGAAGGAGAGAGATTGAGAGAAAAAGAGAGACTGATGGAGAGAGGGAAAGAGTGGAAGAGAGAGAGAGAGAGAGAGAGTGATGGAGAGAGGGAAAGAGTGGGTGGAAGATAGATATATATGCAGATGGAGAGAAGGGGGGGGGGAGAAAGAGAGAGAGGGAGACTGGTGGCGACCTGCAATGTGCGATTAGTCATTAATTGCGAATCGATCCATGTGTTTCAGAGGGAGGAAAAAGATGCGTTTAAGAGTTTAGGAACGGGAAACAGAATTGCAACAGTCATCTTTTATGTAAGTATGCCAAACTAAAGTACAATACTTTTTGTGTTACGGCATCACTAATGTAATGTACTGTGATGTAACGTCAAGTCAAGTCACGAAAACGATAGACGGGAAACGTGCAATACGATCGTCTCACAAATTCGTGGCCTTTGCCAAATTATGAAGCTATCCATTCTCTTTGTACACGTAGATATTTTAGCACACACCAAATGTTATGACTGCTGTCGTTGTTATCTATAGTGATACACATTACAGAAGGTTTGCAATCCCGAAGAAAAACGTTTTTGATGTGTAATGACGTATTGTGAATAACGTTGGTAACTATGGCATATTGACGATCGAATTTATTTGTCTTTTTAATTTTAAAATCTTTTTTTATGTAATGGCAATTAACACATTGCGGCTTTTTTGTTGCCGCATCGAGGGTTTTATTCGGTGGTGTTCCGGCGCTTTCAGATGACGGATCTAGAAGCCGGTGGAGCGACGGTGTTCCCGCGCGTTGGCGCGCGCATCATTCCCGAGCGCGGCTCAGCTGCCTTCTGGTATAACCTGAAGCAGTCGGGCCAGGGTGACTATTCAACCAGGCACGCAGCGTGTCCCGTGCTTGCTGGGACCAAGTGGGGTAAGTGCTCGCCTCCCTCTCCCCTCCCTTTCTTTCTCTCTCTCCTCTTCCCCCTACCTCCCCCTCCCTTTCTCTCTCTCTCCCCGTCTCCATCTCCCTCACCCTCTCCCCCTACCCCTACCCCTACCCCTACCCCTCTCTCTCTCCCTCCCCTCTCTCTCTCTCTCTGTTACTGTAATTATTAACAGTATAAGCCAGTTCGTAGTTACAGTCTGCGCATGCGTCAGGTCAGGTCATTTTTAGCTCGCCTTGACATCGTCAAGTTGAGCTATTGCCATGGGTCGTCGTCCGTCGTACGTCCGTCCGTTCGTCCGTCCGTCAACATTTGGTTTCGGTCAACGATAACTCAGGAACCCACATGACCCACATGTTTGAAATGGGGTGTAGTTGTTACTGCTATGCTCCCATATGGAACGTCCTATTTTGAAGCACGCCAGTCGACGTACTTTCGAGCCACGGCAATTTTTTGGCAAAAATGGGAATTGCCATTAGTCAATTCAGGTTCAACGGATTTTGCTCATTTTTGGTATGTGAATGAATAAGGGCTAGGGGTTTTGATATTTAAAAAAAAAATTATGCAACTTAGGTATTGTTTGGCTATTATATAAACACAAACAGTCTGTGGTGTCACACTCACGTTTTACAAGATTTCATTGACAATATCTTTAATGCAAAATTGGTATTTCTTCTCCACTCTGCCGATAAAACGTCTTTATTAGAGTAAAGATTTACAAAACATGTCGGAACGCAGCATAACCTATTTATTTCAAGCGCCATCGCTACAAAGCGGGTATAGCGCCATCTACGGTCACAAATTGTGATTCATTTTGGTTTATAAATTATTATTGCGATATACAGATGGCAATCGTTTCTATAATGTACGTCGATGGTTGCTCAATTAAAACTGACTCCTTCTTACTCACTCATTTGTGTCCTTTTTTGTGGTGAGCTACAGTGTCATTGACACTTTCATTGTGACAAAATATGTGTGCACGTACACATGCGTGCGTGTACACGTACACAGAATACGTGTACATATACGTACTGAACCGAGAGTGCACGCTGCACTCGAGATTTCATCGATTTTTGTCAAAAATGCCCTGGTGACCTGTGACGTCACACAACCCCTTGGCTAATTACGAACTGGCTTATTATAAACATTACAATAATAATTTGAACAGTCCAGTGCAGTGCAGTAATACTGTAATGTTGTTTGTAAAATTTACAGTTGCTAACAAGTGGATACACGAGATAGGACAGGAGTTTAGGCGCCCATGTGGCCTAAGTGAGATGGAATAAGTGACCGACCATTGGACCGGATTAGAGCGGCGCTGACTGCTAAACGATGATCACTGAGACAGCGGCTGCTAATGTCCACTGCCTGCTTCAGTCCGTTGTGGTCAGTGGTATTGTATGTGTGCACTGGTCATTCGTTTTGCTATTATAGGAAATGCTGCATATAATGCAGGTTTGCGACTTACATTGTACATTTTAATAAGTTACTTAACACATTTGTGCCAGTGTATCAAATTTGCGTGTGACCCATATATTTCACATAGGTGTTTATTGCGTAAAATTAGATTAGGTGATTCTTCATTCAGTTAAGCGGCAAAACCAGTCAGATACAAGCGAAAATGTGCAATAACCACTGAGTGATTGTCTCGTGTTTTATACTAGTAGATAACTGGAAGTTTTATCTGGCCAGTTTGTATAGCAAAATTAACTATTTCTCTGATTGCCATGTGACTGGTGCTGAGTCTCACATTATCTGAAATGCCCTTTTTATAAACGCACTATATGGTGCATAGAGGTTGAAGCTATCATGTTATGGGTTCTGTTGAAGTGTATTCAACAGTTCATTATTCAATTCTTTTTTACCTATAGTCGAAACGTGCTTCCTCTTTTCTGTCAATTTGTCGTGCACTTTTTTCATTTTATACCACGGTTTGTGTGGGTATGTGCCTTAGAACTATAGTTCCTATGAGTCATGATCTTTTATAGTTTTTACGATATGAGAATTGTAAGCTGGAATAATTTCATCTACTGACTGTTTGTTGTCATGGTAACGCCATGTGTCACTTGTTTTCAGGGTCCCGTTGTCAGAAACATCGTAACTAGTTATGACTTCATGGGTTTAAAATGTCAAGACATACGATGCAGTGCGGTGAAAAAGACATTGCATTATGACATTTTAGATGCATGATCGATAATCAATACTATTTCAGATGTTTTTGTCAACGGGCACCAGATAATATAAAATCCGCTTTAAGTTGTGTGTTTTTGTTTAGCGCCTAAAGTAATTTAATATTGGTATTTTTAAATTAATACACGAGCTCTTTTGTAACCGATTGCATACCAACGCATTCAGCAGTCATGAGCTGTGTTAGTATGTGATGTTGTCACCAGCAACCATTATAGCAAGCAGGGGCCTGTTGTCAGAAACAAAATTAGTCTTAACAGTAATCTTAACATTAACATTTTCTCGTAGACCCGTCTCGATCATCTATACACTGCGTATGAGAAACTCGTAACTTTACCATGTCTCTGTCAACGGTCTACGAGAAATAGTTAATGATAAGACTAATGTTAAGACTAATTTTGTTTCTGACAACGGGCCCCAGGATCAGAGGTTTACAAGTGATGCGCGTACATGTAGGTTGCAGCTGCGGCCGTACGTGCATCGCCCATTGCTCCGTGTGTGCGCCGGCAAAGCATTGCTAGATGTAATAGCATGTGCTGTAATTATAAGGTGACGTTGGTGAGCACCCGTGAATACTCGATTCTGCTTCTTTAATTGGCTGGACTTTCTGCATATTTTCGTTCGCCCACGTAGAAGATTCGCAGAAGAAGCTATGGCCTATGGGAGAGGAGAGCATAAAATCCGATGTTGTGATAGCGTAGTAACATTTATTGTACATAAGCCCGTCTGCCACCAATCAAGTCGTGCGTCCACGTACATGGTGCCGGTAGGGGGAAGAGATTTTTATATACGATCTATAAGCAAATTTTTTATCAAAGTGAATCCTTTTTTTATTCCGGGTTCATTCGGGTGTTCTGTTTAGCCGAGAGTCTGTATTGACTAGATTTTACTTCATATATTCTTCTTCAAGCACGATTTTATGTCGTTAGACAGATCCTCCTGTATGACAAGCGTAATATAGACTTCATCTCAACCTCCTGCGGTGGTAGGGACGTCTTGCTGTGGCAGACTGACGTAGTGCAGGCTAGTGCAACGCACAGTCGTAAATCTACCAAAGGTCGACAAAATGTATGCTGCCCTCTTTGTAAAGAATCTCGCCGTCTGTAGCTTTTGTGTGTAGCTCTAAAATCATATTAGAAAATGTCAAACATTGCGCTTCAAAGTCTGGAGAGTGCATAGTAGAGGCAGGGTTTTTACACACAAGCAACAGCGAGTCACAGCTATGCTGGTACTGGCACTGGTACTATTCTGGCTGTACTAGTACTCGTGGCTGTGCAATGTATCATTTATTGGCAAAATGTATTCAGAAGGTGCCATAATAAATTTCCTTACCTGATTGCCTGTGTTATGCGTATCAGTATGCGATGGATGCATTTTTCGTGTGGATGTGGTATTGCACTTATAATGCTCTTTTAAAGTTTAGGGGAAAAAATTCTTTATTTAAACAAATTTCTAATATTGTTCCAGATAGTGAAATGTTTTGTGCAAATTAATAGCTATGGTGAAAGATTTGTTTTTATTTCAATTCATGTTAACGATACAATTTAAGAACAAATAAGAGATAAAAACTGTTTTTAAAATATTGGTAAGAAATATATATCAACAGTTATTCTGAAAATATCTGAGTAGTACAATATGTTAGTACAATCATGCGGCCAAAATAAGCCGTGATTTCAAGGTAATATCGTTATTTTTACATGTATGGTGGCAGCAGTGGCAGTGACAGTAATGAATTCTAACAGAACACGTGCATGGGTATGTCCTATATTCATGTATATAGAATAATCATTGAGCACGGGCGCATAGATCGAAAGATTAAAGGATTACGCACAATATGTGTGTTTGTGTGTGTGCGGGCGTGCGTGCAGGCGTGCGCGCGTGCGTGTGCGAGAGTGAGCGCGCGCGCGTGTGCACGGAAGAGTGGGAGGAGAAAGTTTGAGAGAGTGTGTTAGGGAGATGTGTTAAAGCGGGGGACACACCATGCGAATTTACGGGCATTTTTCACCCACACAAACAGTGATCACAGGGTCACCACAGCCCTTGAAAGTCCTTGAATTTTGTACTTTGTCCTCGAAAGCCCTTAATTTTTCCTTTTGTCATTGAAAGTCCTTGGAAATAGGTCCAAGTCCTGATTTTATTTGTTATTATTTGTAAAGATTTGGGACAAGGAGAATATGGCCCTTAATGGCTTCTTCCATGGGTTGGAGGCTGAAGAAGATCTTTAATTTCACCAGCTCAGCGAGTACTATTAGCAAGAAATTTATAGAGAAAGGATTGCTCTCATTGAATTAGGGTGTAAAACAACTATTTTTTACTTTATATATGAATCTAAGGTATATATGATTACTCTAAAATGCTAAAACTACTTGTCACAGATTGTCCGTGGAAAAAACATATGTCCTTGAAATGTCCTTGAAGTCTGGAAAAATAATTCACACTTTTGTGGGAACCATGCCTGTACTGAGTACCTAGCAGTAATAATATATCATATAGAATCAATCAACAATCACGAAAACCCAAGAAAAGAAAAAAACCTTTTCATTCAATATCTGGTATTCTATCTATTTCTATCTATCTATATACGTTCTCAGAGATCAAGGCACTAGATGCAGACGAGTGAAAACAGAATTTCAGACAGGCAGTCGCGCCATTCGATGCCCGCTCTCTGTACCCACGACTCCAGCATGCACAGTAGATGAACAAAAGTCACATCCGCGCACGGTGGTACATTATATGGTACTTTAATCTATATTCTATCAGGTTATATTCTCTCGGGAATAAGTGATCTCCCTCTTCCAAATGGTATCGCCTACGACCTCGTTATCACGGTGAATTTTATTCTGGTTATCAGCCTCAACTTTTTTACCCTCCCCCCCCCAAAGCACAAAATACGATTATACGGCTATATTACGCGTTTTTACAGTCACACAAACGCGCACACGCGGGTATGGTCGCACGCACGCGTGCGCGTGTATTATAGGCGTAGATTCACGTTTTGTGCCTCGGGGGGGGGGGGTTCGGCTGAAATACGGTGATTTGGCTGGCAAACTTTTCACCGTGCGACTGATGCCGTCGACGATACTATCCACGAAAGGGGAATAATTAAGGAAGGGATCAAGGAAAGAAAC